GGCAAAAGGTAAATATAATGGGCTTCGATAAATTCAGCAGTTGAATAATTTAAAGGCTTCGATAACATCAGCCTTCGAAAAAACCTCAAGAGGTATTCGATTATGTTTACACAAACTAATTAGTTTCCGAACCTTTGAAAAACCCAATGGGTACGAAAAACACATGCTAAGGCATAATCAAATTTTCATTAAGTCTTTTAGCCGAAAAGAGGAAAAAATTATAAAGCCACTCTAGAGGCCGAATCGGTCCAACTTAAAGAGCCTAATGGCCGATATATAAGAGCCTAAGGGCCAACTTAAAGAGCCTAAGGGCAGATATATAAGAGCCTAACGACCAACCTAAAAAGGCTTAAGGGCCAAAACATATAGAGTTCGAGACCCCGTTCTCACTCAACTCGGTATGAAGAGTCCCATTGTTCCGAGCTCGCATCGAAATTTAAGCTTAGCTCGAGAATTACCTAAGACATAAGAGGCATTACGTTGATCAATAAAAAACCTAAAGATTCATTATGTTCTGAGTCTAAACCAATACTCGGACTGATCATTTGGGTTGTACAATTGAATTTTCCATAAATAAGGATAAAATGAGATTCAACACAAGCCAAGGTTGAAACAAAGAGTCCCTTTGTATTTCCAAAAGATATTTACAAATACCCACGAGGGGTCCTTACACAAAAACACTAAGGCAAAACAAAGAAACCTAAAACTACTCCGGGGCTACACCTTCGGCAGCTACGTCTTCGGGAGTCTCCTCCTCGGGGACTTCATCTTCATCCCCTCCGCTCTAGGAGCCACTAGCCGAGTCATCCTCATCGGAAAGCAAAACGGCAACCTCTTCTTCTAAAGTCTTCACCCTTTCAATATCGGCTGAGAGATCGAAGCCGCGAGCATGCACCTCCTCGAGGGTTTCCCTACGGGACTGTCGCCTGGCGTGGTCAAGTGCACATGATAACTTAACTTCGGCCGCAGCAGAGATCTTTTTTGCCCGGGCGTTAGCTGCTTCAGCATCAGCTCGGTACGAAGATATAATTGCCTTAGCGTCATATTTAGCCTTGGCCAGCTCAGCAGCGGATTTAGCTTTCAGCTCCTCGATTTTACGGCCTCGAGCTAGGCTCTTCTCTTTCACACTGTGAAGCTGGCGTTCGAGTGAAGCCAGCTGCTCTCGAAGAGTCTCTTTCTCAGAGGCAAGATTGTCCATACCTTGCCTCCACCCCAGGGTCTCGGCCTCTTTCATCTTGAGCTCCTCTCGGAGCTGCTCCACTAGCTCCCACTTTTGCTGAACCTGCAAAGTTGAAGCGTTAGCCGACCAATCGGGCAAATGCATAAAAAAACTCCGAAGGGTACATTACCTTTTCAACAAGCTCGGTCCGCTTTTGATGAGCCTTCTCCAGTACAGCCCGAAGGTCACTGATCTCCTCCTCTTCCTTGACATAGAGGGTTCTAAGACTGTCCCTTTCTTCTGAGATTTTCTTAAGCTCGGCCTCGCATCGGGCAAGCTCAGTTCGAGACTTGGAGAATGCTTCTTTATGGAGCGCCACAGCCTTCATAAAAAAGGAAAAAGTTAGACTCAGAACGACTAGGATAAAGCGCATGCATAATTTTAAAGGACAAAGACTTACTTGTTTGAAAAGCCGATGGGCCTCGTTGAAGATAAAAGAAACATCTGGATCGGGACCATCTTCGATCCCTGAAAGGCACTCCCGAAAGATATCGTGCCCTTCGTGGCTCGTCCCCACGTCAGGAGTTCTCATGTTCCGAGCATCTCGGAAGTGCCCCTCGGAGAACTCAGGACCGGGAGGAGACTCATCCAAGTTGATTACCCCAAGTGATCCGCTTGGAGCATTCTCTTCTCTTTGAAGGACCGCGGGATCGGGCCCCTATGTCTCACCCTCCAAATGCCCTCCAAGACGAGGTGCTCTTTTGCTTCCCGATGGCTCGGGGACTTTGCTTGAACTCCCCTCGGAGATCTCTTCGGTTCTAGAATGAACCGCATCTGCCACTACCGGTTTGACAGACTTCGAAGCACCGATGCTTCCTCTCTTATGAGCTAACAACAGGCAGTCGTCATCTTCTTCTTCTTCCTGATCCCGTAGGCGTTGGGCCGTTTCCGGAGATAAGGCCCCCGTGTCGGCCTTAGGCTTTTGAGCTGCGCTTTTCTTGGGCTTCGGGGGATTTCAGGCGACCCCCTTTTTCTTTTCTTTTCTTTGGAAGGCTTCGGGATCTCTTCTTCACCAGCCGAGGGCGGCCGCATAGCGACGGCGTCTCCGAGGCCTGCATAAGAACAAAGTAAGTATTCCACTAAGAAACACAAGTAAACAAACAAGAGAACTCACCATGGTTTTTAGCCTCCCATTGACCCTTGGCCAAGTCTCGCCAGCAACGCTCCGCATATGAGGAAGTGGAATCCAGTTTTCGGACCCAACCTTTGAGGTCCAGGACGGCACCGGGAAACCAAGCAACAGTTGCACCATCAAAAAGAGGTTAGACCGAGCAAAAGATGAAGTCGAGAGGAAGCAGGGTATAAATTTACTATGTACTTACGTTTCATGTTCCACTCCTCGGGGAATGACATCCTCTCAGTAGGAATCGGGTTAGAGGTCCTGACTCGGACAAACCGACTTATCCATCCTCGGTCTTTGTCCTCATCGATGCTGGAGAAAAGAGATTTCGAGGATCGGCGTTGCAGTTTTATCAAGCCACCTCGATAAAGGCGAGGGTTGTACAGCCTGATCAGATGGTCGAGGGTGAAAGGCATCCCCTCGACTTGGCTTGAAAAGAATCTGATCAAATGAACGATTCGCTAGAATGAAGGGTAGATCTGGCCAAGCGTCACTTGGTATTGTTGGAAAAAATCAAGGATAACTGGGTCTATGGGAACCAGGGCTGGATTTGCAGGGCCCAGCGTATATGGGTAGGTATACACACTTAAATACCCCGCTTTACGGGTAGTGATGTCCTCTTCCGGGGAGGGAATCACCACATCTTTGTTATCCCAGTTGCAGTCCTTCTTTACCTGCTCAAGCTCATCTTTGGTTATCAAACAGACATATCGAGACATGGGCTCGCATCGGCCTGGTGTCGATACAGGTTCTTCAACTTTGAAATCGGATGTTATTTCACCCGGCGGGGGAATGCATTCCTCGATACGGGGTGGCACCACCGTTTTACTTTTGGCCGGCCGTGATGATGAAGAGGCTTTTTCTTTTTGGGGAACGGATTTAAATGTTTTAGCCATTATAGTGTAAAAGTTCAAGAAAAGAGAAAGGTTGATGGTGAAGTAAGGGCTAATTGAAAAACCCAGAGAAGTTGAAGAAGCTAATGAGATTTTGAAAACAATCTGAGAAGTAAAGTTTGTAAAATTGGGAAGTTGGCCTACTTATAGAAGTCACTCAAGCGTATTGGGGAAGCCGAGTAGCCGACCATTACTGGCATGCATTTAATGTTTTGGGAAGAGAATCGACGGGACGTTTCGGTCACTTTGAGCGCTCATGTCATAGGAATGACATCTTCATTAGAGACTCCGGAGAATCGTGGTTCAAATCGTTTCTTGTCGCCTTGCTCTAAGAAATGCGGGGACTATCTGTATATGGTCAGAATCGTATGCCTCCGATTTATAGGCTCGAGGGGTCGTCTTGAACCCGAGTTCAAGCAAGGTCAAGTTTGAGCCGGAGAGACCAGATCCGAGCTCGAAGACAGAATGCAATGCTCGAAGATAGGGGTGCGAGGAATACCGAAGTCAAACATGCCCGACCCCGAAATTGTACCGTTGTGGATTTGTAACAGAATGAGTTAGATTCCTGCCACGTCCCCAAGATCATGGCGCAAATCCCGGAATAGGATTGTACGATTCCGTACTAGGCGGTTAGACAGTTGTATCATGAATATTCCTTAATTTAAATAAAAATATACCTTATTTAGGGTTCCCCTATTATATAAAGGGGACCCCCAATCATTTGTAAGATCATCTCATCATTGGCAAGAATATACTATCCTACTTTTCTCTCTTACTGTTCATCAGAATTGTCCTTCACTTATTGTTCTTACTTTATTGCTCTTAATTCATCTCGAGGTCACAAAGCGCGAGGTCACCACTACTGAGTAACATTGGTTTGATTCACTTATTTCTTTCATTTCTAACTCATATTTCTTGAATATTAATTGGTATTGAATTTAATCACATATCTTTAAAACCACAAATCAAATTTAATTATTACTCGTATTTTCGACGTAAATATACATACATGTATATTAAGTAGGGTTGAGCCATGTTCCAGTTAGTTCTGGTCCAGTAAATGTCAATGACAGTTTAGATTATTAACATATGTCCTCCATCCTCCTTTGTTTCAAAGGTCAGGATTTAATTTCAGTTTTTTTTTTCACATGACTTATTGTCAGTTTAATCTATATTAACGATAAAAATTGAAAAAGATTATTCTATTGTTAGTTACCGGAACTCCCCAATTTATCTTTGGTTTGTATATAGCTTCTCTTTTACATGTCAAACATTATTCTCAACATAAACTTGTCGACAGCTGATAATGTTTTTATACACAATTCTTTTATACAACATATCTCAAGTATTATTTTGTGCAAAAAAAATAAAAATATAAAGATTGTTGTTTAAAAAATAGATAATGATGTCGTTATATTATATTTATCGATTAATAGAACATGTACTACAAAAGAAAGATAAAATGCGAGAATAAATGCCTTTTGAAATTTTAAATGTTTATTTTTATTTTTATTTTATAATATTAAATAAATGAAAAATTGATTTTATGAATTATTTATGCCTATAACAAACAAATAAGATTTAAATACCAATTACTACAAAAGTCAAAAAACTAAGATTTGATGGAAGTGTAAAAAATAATACAATGTCGCTGCACCAAAATTAAACTCAAACATATATATTATGTGTACCAAAAAAATAAAATTTCCCACAAGGTAATTATAGTAGTATTATTTTTCATACTTTTTTAGGACAAAAAGAATAAGTAATACCACCGCGTGATCATTTTTTTTATATCGTGAGGGGCCGCGGGAAGAGTCGAGAACCACCTAAACAGAGAACCAGACATCAGCGGGAAATGGCGTCTGCAATTCGCTCCGCCCTCCGCGGCGGTGTTTCTCGCGGAACTCCGGCATTCTCGAGGACTTTCGCTTCTTCCGCACACCATGACGAGGCCCGTAAGCTCATCTTCATCCATCTCTCTGTCTTAAATTTCTGGTTATTTTAAATATACTCAGATGGCTTCGTTTCTTCGGTTTCCTCATTTAATTTCATAAATATATAGTTGCGTACTCAATCTGATAATATTTTCCGTAAAGTTGAATTCTCTATTAACTATGAAATGAACCTGAAAAGAGCAGAAAATTAATTTAGCTGATCAAGGACAACAGGAGAACTTTTTGAAATTCCAGTGCTTAGTGTTTCCCATAACATAGGTTTTGAGTGGTGACTGATGTGGTATTTGCGAGCTCAACTACTCACATCCTTGTAGTAGCAAGATGCCATAGTGACTTGATCATGTTCTGGGTTCTCCGTGAGAGGCGGATTTAGGATTTGATGTTTATGAGTTCCTACAGTGATCTCAAATTAGTATACAATACTAACTGAATTCACAATCAAATATTTATAGATGTCTAATGATTTTCTGATCAAAAGCTGTTGGTTCACATGAACCCGTATAATACATGTTAGCTCCGTATTGTTCTTTGTGGACATGCTATATATACCTCTTTGTGTGAGAGAGATAGAGCAATATTTGATTTATTATTTGCTATTTCACACGCGTTTGAGTATGTGTAAAAAGCTTTTCTTTTCAATGAAATCTTTCGATTATGTATTCCTCCCTCTGTTTCAAGACGTAATTTGACTGGGCATGCGGTTTAAAAAAAGATACTAAGACGTTTGAAATTTGTGGTCTTAAACATGCTATAACAATTTTTGTAATTACAAGACTTTTGAAACTTGTGATCTTACAAATGTCATAATATTTGCTTAGCTATAAAAGCTTGTCACTAATGATAAAATTAGAAGTTTACAATAAATTGTTTCGAAATGTTGAAATATATTATTCTTTTTGGGAAAGACTAATAAGGAAATTGTATCACATAAACTGAAACGGAGGGAACGGAGGGAGTAGTTTTTTCAAGGGATGATATTCATTTAGTCTATCTGTTATTTTCCCCCCCTTTTTTTTGTTACTTTCAGTTGTTTGATTTCGCTGTATATAATATAATGTATTTGAAGTGTTAATATTTTATGGTCTGTTTATTTCCTATGGCCAGGTGAAGCAGCTAAGTGGGAGAAAATTACTTATGTTGGAATAATTACATGCACTATTCTTGCAATCGTTAATCTCTCTAAGGGTCATCCTCACCATGAAGAGCCTCCTGTAAGCTTTATATATGTATTTCTTGTACCTTCTTATATGTCAAAATTTGTGTTATTTTCAATGATATGCTGTTTTCAGTCTTTCCAATTCGGATGCAAACTTAAGATGAAATCAGAAATTCATATTGACAATACGTTTCTAAATGATTTTCACTAGCCCGGTTAAAGTAATGGGATTTGAGACACCCGTATACTATTGATTTGATCATCTGACTGTTGCTCCCAAACGCACACGCAAGTATACGTGGTCGACAAGTAATATAGGATTGTAAGTCCAGATTTCGTACCCACAGGGACTTGTGATTAACTATCAACTAAATTAAACCAAACAATTAATCTATTCAAGCGAATCCTAACGTATGAATATTTAACTAAAGATAATCTAGAGTAGTAAACTAAGAGATTAAAGAAAAAAGTTGGTAAATTATACAGACGAATTCAATGTGAGTGAATATTCTAGAGCTATGGGTTGGCTAACAATTCCGTTGAGTTTTTCACCTAAATCGTCTAATTAATTTATCTGGTTTATTGGTTGACAGGGTTAATATTGCTTGTAGCCTTCTCCCGAAGTACAACTCGCCTATTCAAGCTAACCTAACGCCTATATTCCTATGGAATTAGGATTAATAAGAACGCATTTATAATTCCCGTATAATAACCAAGCAAGGCGATTAGGTATATTCCTATCCTAACCGCAAATCCGCTCCCCCTAAGAGTTAAGATCTTGCTCTACTCAATCTTATATGCAATCTAGAATTCCCTCTCCCGAGTTCAATCCTAGATTCGTAGATAGTATTCAATTGGTGATCAAGCAATCAAATAATTAAGCACAAGATTGAATAAATAAACCAATATGATAAAATAATAATAACAATTCAAGCTTCAAACTACAACGTTCATGTAGCACCCAAAACTCTAGAACAAAGAAACTATGAGATTAAAGAAAGAGAAGAGAAGAAAAACTAGTTAGAAGCCTCCTCCAAGCGTGGTGTGTGTTCCTCCACGTGAATTACCCTTCAAAGTATGTTAGATCTCCTCCAAATTAGGTTTAGGACCCCTTTTATACGGGTTGGGACCGTGTAGGGCTGAAATAACCTTGTCCCGAACAAAATAGGCGTCCAGGCCAGCGCCTAGCGCTGGACCTGGCGCTGAAAACAGAATGTTTTCACGTTTTGCCTTCTTTTGAATTGTAAAATTTTCCTTGGTTGTCTCCACTTGGGGGGACAAAACCCAAAGGGTGTCCCCCTATTTTTTATTATTTTAATTTTCTTTCTTTTTCTTTCGCGTTTTATCCAATTTTGCTCCAAATCTCTTCATCTTCATATCGCTTTATTCCTACACAATTAAAATATAATATTAAGCACAAAACAATATAACTAATACTCAAAAGACGATTAAAAATACTAGAATATGAGGTAACAATGGGTAAATATATGCATTTTTGGCCGAACATCACTGACCAGTCAATAGCCAAAAAGCACCAAATTCATTATTAAGACAAGAACATTTTTGAATACTGCGTAATTCGGAACCTACGCCATTACAAAAGTTCAAGGAAGGCATTTGATGTTTAATGTATTTGATTCTAACGCAAAGAAATATAGTTGGTTCAGATAAATGGAGATTCTCAGTTTCATGTAATGATATCTCTGCTGTAAAATCTTTCAGTTGTTCCTTTTCTATTATTGGTAAACACAGGAGAGATTAGGAATTAATGTTGTCAAAATGAGTATTTCAAACAAAATAATCAGCCAATCCACTAGGAAAGGAGATTGGGGGATTTGGTTTCCTGGGGGAAAGGACAAAAGGAGCTGGCCGAGAAGGGAAGTTGCAACCTAGAGTTGTAGAGGAATGCCTTTTCTTCCCAAGAAAGATAGAATAAGGTTAAACCGGTCCTTATAATATCCAATGGTTGACTTGTGTTTATCTGTAACTAATATTATATAGGGGTATTATTTTTCTTGGGCGTTGAAATTTTGTAGTATAATAGTAGATGGGAATTTACAACTGAGGTAGAGAGTACAGACATGTGTAATATATGCTGCCTATTTCTTATATGTATTCTTTACATAACATGATTTTACAATTCTTGCTATCATTTCTAACTTTATTTGCAGCCTTATCCGTATCTGCACATTCGTAACAAGGAGTTTCCATGGGGTAATTCCGATACCTAAGCCATCTCTTAATTTTGCTTGTCAATGGTTTCATGTTTACTATCTCGTGTGTAATTGTATCTGATCCTTGATGGTTGCAATTAGCTATCAGCACATAGATATACTGTATAATATAATCTTCTGTTATCTAACTGAAGCACTTTTAGTTTATCCGATAGGCTTCAAAAATGTTGTAGCATGCGGTGGATGGTCTCAGCTTTAATTTGTTGAATTGAGATGTCAGCATGTAATTGACATTCAGAGACCAGAAGGGAACGCTTTTACCAAAAAAATGAGAAATGTTTGCAGTTTGCATATGTTATTCACCTTTAGTTGGAACCTAATCTATGCACGCTTTGGAGTAGGTTCTGTTTATCTGCTTGACCTTTATATTCTATGGAATTGTTTGAGGTGTTAGATATTTGGTTTACCAATGCTGTCCTCATTATGTTAATTTTGACTGTGACATCATTTTTGCTGCGGTGTTTGGCATTTTGGCGAGAGAAAACAATATAAAAAGACCGTATAATATCTCAATAAAAATAGTAATTATCATAACCGTTATATTTTGTGCAAGTCTACTTAAAGTTAACAACAAAATATTAATGGTGAGTGTTCAAGTATGCTTTGACACTCTTCCCTAGTATTATCTGTGATGGAACGTAAATGAGGACTTGAAATCAACATTTTCAGTGGTGCGTTACTTTTCCTGTGAATGTTGGTCAATCCAGGTGACTTTCAGCTCAATGGTAAGAGGCAGTTTTTCCATTGGGCTCCTCTTCATTCAATTTTGACATGATTTCACATGCTTCTTTACTATTATAAGTTATAATTTCTTATCCAGTTCATGAATTGTAGCGTTACGTGAGTGTTCATGCCAATGTTGGTTTGGTTACTCTCTGTATGTTTTTAGACGGTATACTTATTTCTGTAGCTGAAAATTCCATGTGCAGATAAATTTTAGTTAGATTTAGGTTTTCTTAAGGTAACAAACTATTTAATACTAAAATTTGGCTGGCCCTTTTTTGAATGCAGGTCCGAATGGTCTTTTCGAGAAGAAGCATCACTAAAACCTGTATATTTATCCATGAAGGCTTAAAAAAGCTGAACCTACTGCATCGTCAAAGTTGTATGAAATGTGTTTGTATTTGCTTCAGATGTCTTGTGTTGATACTTAACCATATCTCTGATGTACTCTGTGGTTTTCTGTATTGTGCTGTCTACTATGTTTCGACAGTGCTATCTACAAAATAAGAATGAAGAGATTGTTTGAATGGTCTCTTTTCAGCTGTTCTTTTCGATATGATTACCCTTGGATTACCCACTTCATTCTAGATGCATTCAGAGGAGAAAACATGTTGGATTGGAAATATATCTAGAAAATAATCCAATTGGATTTAAAGTTACCAGTTTCAAAAAAAAAAAAAAAAAAAAAAAAAAAAAAAGCCGTTACCTAATTTATGTTCTATCTATACTCATCAGCTTGACCCTTCCCCTTCTTGAGTATTAGCTTAGTGTAACTGAGGAATCAGGGGAAGTTGTAGTCATAGAAATGAAAAGGAAAGGAAATATAGTCAAGTGTGAGTTTAGCAGAGAGGAGAAAGAAGAAGTTGTTATGACTAATCAAACCCCCATCATACAGTTTTTGCCTCGTGATTAATGAAGTAAATTTGAGAAAATTGAAGAAAAGTTAAAACACAAGGCTCTACTTAGCCCAGGATTATTCACCTCCCAATTTACTTTAGTAGGCTGGTGATGATATCAAGAATATATGAATCTATGAGCCATTCTGACTTCATTCATGTAAAACTTAGGGAACTCCTAGGCTACAATTCATTAGCTTTTAATCACAATATCACTTTCGATTAAACTGGAACTGACCTATTATCCACCAAGTATCAAACCGTGAGCGCTAACTGGCCCAAAAATAATAGTTTTGACTAAATGTGTCTTGATATATGCTCAACTAGTGCAAAAATCTCCATATTATGAGGATGATCGTGATATAATAGCAGGCCAAACTTCATGAACCAAAAAAAATTGGTTTACCTTGTTTCACTTACTAGTTTCTGCTTCTTTTTCATCTTTCCTTGAGCCGATGGTTTATCGGAGACAATCTCTCTACCTTCACAAGGTAAGGGTAAGGTCTGCGTACACACTACCCTCTCCAGACCCCACTTTGTGGGGATTACATTGGGTTTGTTGTTGTTGTTTCACTTACTTGGTTGTTCCACATCACTGAATGACAAATGCAAATCATATTCATGACTAATTGACTCAAACAAGGTGCTGCTCATACTTGAAAGCAACATCTTCTCTATGCAGATTTAACATTGTCTAAAGAAGTTTAACATGCACTATACAAAATGGAGAGGTGGTCGAACAAAGTAATGTTCCTCTAAATCTCCAGCCTTCTCTATCACTCGAAATAATCTGTGCACAGCGAGCTAAATTATCTCAAATATTTGACAGGGGTAACTTACTATTTTACTTCCTAGTATTGATTTTGACAGCAATTGGATCAGAACAGTATGGACAATTCCCGAATAGAACATCAAATGACCTGTAAAACAAACAGAGCAGATGAATGTGATAACTGAATTGGAAAAGGAATATCTCCTTAATTAAAGTAATAAAGGTAAGAAAAAGCAAAAGGTAAAAAGTTGTTCAAAACACAAAAGAGAGAGTTTAATTATGCCAAAAGTTATACAGATCTCACTTAAACTTCTTTGTATACAATTTTCTCTATATGTTCCTCAAAACCAAAACAAACAATGTCTATCCCCACCATATATTCCCAGATTAGCACTAGGAGATTTCGAATTTAATTTTCTCTCTATAATCATACAACAAGAAGTCAATTTGGATTAGAGGGTAATCAATGGCATTTAAAAGAAAAAAGAAATTGAAAAGCAGAACTTCTTATTATGTAAAGAGTGCATATTTCATGGTAACATTAAACAATATGACTCACCTACGAAGTTCATTCAAGATAGAGTTTCTGTGCGTACTTTTGATAAAGCATATAGAGTTTCTTATTTCACTATACTTAGTTCAAGCAAAATCGTGTCTAACTTATCTCTCCTTATTCGCCTACCTTTTCTTCAGTGCTTATCAGGTGCATTAGTGTATAAACTGGTAAGATAAATACTCAGACATTTCATTAGCTTCTCTTCCAATTGGCAATATCTTTTCCTTCCCATTATTTTATCTACAGGATTGCATTAACTTGGCCTGGCTATAAAATCAACTAACCTAGGAAACTTTTTCCCTCCAACACTGAACTAGTACCCATAATGAAAACAAGAGATAGTAAATAACAAAACGTTAAGGATATGTTTTCATCATAAGCAGAATCAAGATAAGGGAGCTCAACATACTGTCTTGTTGTTGTGATGGAACGCAACCAATCTCCGAGGCAAACACTGTGGAAGGCCCTACTGCAGCTGTTATTTTCACATGTACAATCAGTGCCACTTCCACTCTTAGCACCAAGTTCATCATCTAGATTGACATCACCAAGTTAATGCCATCATCCACAAAATATTAATGCATTTATTTTACGGATATAGGATTACCAATTGGAAGATATTGTGCATAACAAATGCCACATTCAGTTTGTGGATCGGTCTTTTGAACGATTGAAGGTCCATGAAGTTGAATATCCAATACGTTTGCAAGATTCTCAGAAAATGGCTTGTCTTTCATCCTGTGAATAGAATAGAAATCAGAGTTGATGATACGTAACTAGGAAAAAGCACAAGCTCAGCAAAAGTTAAAAGATCCTTACCCACCCAGCCCCCAGCCCCTTCATCTTTTAAAATGTTCAAAATACCAAACGTAGAGAAAATTCTATGTATTGGCAACAAAAACTAAGTGCAGAATAATATGGCTAACATGTTCCCAGACTTCTACACATAAACTCCAGCTAATGGAGAAATCTAGTAATTTCTGAAAAATCCAGGATAATTACTTAAAGCAGTTAATTTGAGCACTATAAGACAACAGCATCAGAATCCCAATGTAGACAATGATAAGGACCATGACAATTACAAGTCAGCACTAAAAGAGGAAGTTGAAATACCATCTTTTGCAGTTTCTCCTCCACATCGCTCTCAATCTCTCCACCTCTGAATCTGAACCAAGAAAGCGACAGCTAGAAGAACTCCACATCAATTTATAACTCATCAAAGATATAGGAATAATTGTAAAATCTGGTGGTTTTAGAGAACACTTACTCTGGTAGGGATGTTGGATCATTAGCATCTATACACAACATGATATGGCAGTCATTGCCTATAACAAAAGCGAATGGATACGAATCAGTTCTGGCATAAAGGGGTCCTGACCCATCAAAGAACAGTTATGTAAATAAACACATACTTATATTAAGTTGGCGATGTGACGAAGCACGTTGAGGATATCTTAGGTCAGAAACCAAAAGAGAGTGGTCAATGTCATCCATTATATTCCAAAACTCCTGAAGCTTATCCATATGCTGAGTCCAGTAACAAGATATAGTGATTATAACAGAAATTAACAACCCGCAATTAAATTACACGTGTCTTTGGTGGATGAAATTTTATTTGATAAGGTAAGGTAATGTCTTTGGTGGATGAAATAAAGCAAAGAAATGGAAATGGAGGGAGATTTACAACATGTTGAAAAGAATACAAAATTACCTGCTGAAACTGTTGGATAACATTTTTTAGTCTTGAGTTTATTGACCATTCCACATTGAAGAGATAAGGCACGTCCTGGGGAAATGTCAGTAAATTAAGACATTGCCTAAAGAATGCAAGGTTCTAGTATCAGAAATTGAAGGATGCCAACCGCTGATATTGAAGGTGGCTGATTAGGATATGTTCCATCCAAAGTTATCTGAACAATGTGCACTCTTCCCTTCTTGTCCCTGGCACACAGAAAAATCTTGAAAGTTCTTGCTTAGCAGGGTAAATTATGGTCTTCCACTTGCTGCGATTAAGAAACTAAGTGTTTTTGCTTTTACTTAGTTTCCCAAATTTAAGTTCCGTCTTTCACATACATAATTCTAATATGTACCCTCTTCTTTCACTTAAGCAACACCTATCCTTCCTCTTTTTAACCCAACCATAGCATTAAGAAATGAAGAAAATCCTTACATCACGTGAAAGCTGAGAAGTCTCAGATCTTCCCCCAATCTGACAAGGTGTTCCCATCCTATCTCTTCTACCTGCGGATACAACATAATTTCAGAAAGGAAATCCCAAAAAACAATGTCTAAAGCATGTTATCGCAAGTAATAAACCATTCAATCTCGATGTCAGGAGTATACAATAATGCTACGAGCATAGTAGTTCAAAGTTACGTTTAACATCTCTAATTTAGAAACTGAGCAATGTCAAGCACGATACTGTACAGGGCATACAGAACTGTCGCACCATGAAAACAGCTGAAAATGGTTGCGCAACGATGAATTGAAGTAAAGAATCTGCTGCAACTGATTAAGCCTCACTGGCTAACACAATGCAAATGCAAGTAAAGCAACCTCCACAATAAAAAATTGAGCATTACAGAATTCAAATAACGTTATGCTTGAAATCACAAGTTAGAATAGACCTTCATCAATTTCTCCATGTACCAAATCTTAAAACTATACAAAGTGAAGCAACCATATCCAAAAAACCAGAAAAGATGGTCTCTTTTGGGAAATGGAGTGTATCATCATGGCAAATCAGTAAAAAAGCCGTCGGATAAAGAAATTACTCGAACTCTAGAGCGGAAACCTGGCACTTTAAAAAATAGTGGATGCAAAATTCATTAAAGACAAGCATGCTGAAGACTCATCTAAACTGTTTCTGATCATATGATCAACAGTGATCCTAAGAATTGCAAAAGTTATCGGAAAAGGTCAATGATATACTACCTCTGTTTCATTTTACGTCATACTATTTCTTTTTTAGTCCATTCCAAAAAGAATGATCCTTTTTCTATATTTGAAAATAATTTTACTTTAAACTTCTTATTTTATCCTTAATGACATAATTTTGTAGCCACACAAATGTCACAGCATGCGTAAGTCTTTAAGCCCACAAGTTCCAACAGTTTTATAGCCACAGAGATAAATTGCAAGTTTAAGACTACAAGTTCCTAAAGACTTTCTTCTCTTGCTAGTTTCTTCATCTGTGTACCTAGTCAAACAAGTTCACATAAAGAACAATGATTAAGATTAAGCATCAATGTAACTCCCAGGTGGATAAACTGTCCTTTGTAAAAATGAATTCAGAAGTTCTGCGGTAGCCCACCTCCCCACCCCCCACCCCCCTTCCCGCAACCCAAATAAGAAAATGATAATGGAAGCACAAACCATGGGGTTTTGCTCTCCATAAGTGGCGTCCCACACTCATTTTCTCCTCCCCACTGCCAACACCAGCCCCAACCTCGTCCCTCACCAGAACCCTCACTCCACTCCAACCCCACGCCCTCACCCAACCCCCCGCCGCCGCCTCCGCCATGTTGCGCGGACTCTCCAAAAATGATGCCGCACCTCTAGACGGAATTTTTGGAGAATCCGAGCAACGTAACCCATACCCCACCCCAATCATTCATGTTTGGCTAGATTATATATAAGCTCTTTGAATAATATTTTCTCTTATTTTGTAGGAAAATATTTTCCGTAATGCCAACCACACCATTAGGCTCTCTTGACATTTTTCAAGATGAACATACTACAATTACTGCAAAAACATATAGGAGAAAAAATGAACTATTAAAAGGCCTCTCTTTGACGGTGCAAAAGCTGAACATGATGTCAACGTCACTACGTTGATCACAAAAAACAGACTAAAGCAATAAAAAACACTCTTTACTCTTCAGAGTTGACTGATACTGCATACCTCTGAATATATCCTGCGGTAAAAAGATGATGACTTGGCCAGTTCTCGGCATCTATTTTGGTCTACATACTCCTAAAATACACTCGTATGTTTAGCACGCAATCATTTAATCAATTGGGAATAAAGAAGTTCTTACCTACCATTGTAGTATACTTGCACAAATCTAAACTTGAATTTCAATGTAAAATACCAATGCCACCGGCCTTTCAATTTCTTCAAGAAATTAAAATTGGGTTTAAATAATTTGCTATTCAACATTCAGAAGCATAACTTCTGCGCATTTACCGAATATCAATTAAGAAAATGAAGACGAAATACCTGAACGGGGATAAAACAATCTCTATATATGAATGCCGCGCGGGGGAATTGCACAAATAGATACCCATTTAAAGAATAGCCAATTACAAATTCTTTAAAATTTAGCCGCCTCAAAAATAATTTCAGTTCTGAATTTAAAATCGTGACTTTGAAGAACATTGTAATTATTCTTTGTTTCTCTTCGAATTTTTAAGTATTGCATCAAGTGTTTGAAGCAATGAAAAGTTGTTTCGCATCAATTTATTAACCTCTTGAATCAGGTTATGTTATTCTAACTTTTTAAATATTATTTTTCATCTAAAATTTATGATTTTTTATGTTTTTATTAATAGGTATATTGCTTCTTTTTTTTTTAATTCTTTATCTAGTAGAGTTTAAATGTGTCAACTAATTGTAGACTAAGTTATTTTTTCACTTTAAAATGGATCGGAACAATAGGAAGTGTATGAAAATATTTTTGATGGTAAAATACTGAGGTCACTAAATGGTGAGAATCTAACAAATATTGCAATTCCTTAAAATATTAATAGTTTAGACCTATTTTTTAAATTAAAAATATTAAGGATAATAAGTTTTTAAAAAAGTTAAAATTGATCTTAACTAAGATCAACAATATCCCACGAGAGATTAAATTCATTAACTACATTATCAAAAGGAAAATAATTATTAGAGTAAATCGATTATAAAATACAGTAATTAATAAATTTACATCTCAACAATTTGGAAAAATAGGCTTTAATATATGTATACATGCTTTTCTAAAGGTAATTAAAGGCCTCTTATCATTTATCAAAGCTAACATATATTGTTGAGCCGCCTGGCCTGAAAGCCCGAAGAAGATATAGCAAGTAGCAACATCAACCGTCTAAAGTTTGTCAAAAATTAATTAAGCTTTTGATCTATCTATCTATCTATATCTATATCTATATCTATATCTATATCTATCTATCTATCTATCTATCTATATCTATATCTATATTATTATAAAAGCACGAATAATTTATGTTAAATGTTGAACGACCAAAATATCCTTGAAACGTTGTTAGACTTTTATAACCTTAAATATTTATATAATTTGAGAATATAATTGTAAATCACCGAAGATTAGAATTCTTTTCCAATTTAAACTACACATATGATCGCTACACTTAAAGTTGACGAGGCTAACCTATCTGTATATTACTTCAGTTGGTTATTTAGATTAGGAGACTGAAAAATCCCATTTTACTGCACTTGGGGATATAAATCCTATATGGTGTAGAAGTTCAATTCCAATGGCTTAAACGTTTGTTTATATAAGGCTTTTGCCTAATATTTTCAATGAAATAAGCATAAATTGCCATTTCCCACAGTTAATGCCATTGAAACTTTTCTTCAGACTCAAACGTTTGGTTCCTTTTGGGATACTAATAATCTCAACGTTTGAAGGAATTCGGGCCAGGTTAATCTATTTTCTATCTATCTATCTATTTTATTATAAAAGTATGAATATTTCATATTAAACTTTGAACAACAAAAATATTCTAAAAATATTAATAAGCTTTTACATTCTTGAAATTAAAATATCTATATCTATCTATATGTATATCTTCTATCTATATCTATATCTATATATTATTATAATAGCACAATGTTAAAACGCTAAATGTTGAACGACTAAAATATCCCCAAAATATTGATAGACTTTTATACTCTTTTTAAGCTAAATTAGTTTTAAAAAAATATTACCCCTAAAGGAAGAAATTGTAATATTGGTAATAATGTGATACTATTTTTACTTGGACAACAACATCGGATAAAGAAGTTGCGCGTCCTATTCCGACTAATTAGAAGAAAACGCACATTAGGAGATGTAAATCTAATAAGTCACGAAATCCATATAAGAAAGGATAACTATTTCATTATGTTCAAAACCAAGGTAGTTGTATGTCTCACAGAAAAGCACAAGAAGTAAATCCAAATTTCTCAAAAAATTTAAATTATATAATGCTGATATAACAAAATTTCTTTCTAAGGAATATGAATAAAATAATCCAACTCTTTACTACTCCCTCCAGTCCAAAATAAGTGATTTTTTGGCCTTTTTTTGTGGTCCAAAATAAGTGATTTTTCTAGAATTCAAGAATGAATTAATTATTTTTTTCCTACATTGCCCTTAGAGTAAATAGTGTTGGAGTATGTGTTAGGAGTGTTTATGTGAAGAGATAGTAAAGGTTAATATGGTCAATTTCATTGCTAATTAATGTTAAAAGGTGGATTTCTTAATTTGTGTAAAAACAGCTAAAAAATCACTTATTTTGGACCGGAGGGAGTATTACAAATGTATGTTGGGTTGAAGCTATTGTTAAGTATTGAAGCTATTGTGAAGTATTGAAGGCTTAAAATTTACGTGCAACGCACGTACGTAGAGATTTGGACCGGAGGGAGTATTACAAATGTGTGTTGGGTTGAAGCTATTGTTAAGTATTGAAGCTATTGTGAAGTATTGAATCACATAAATGATTGGCTTAAGATTTACGTGCAACGCACGTACGTAGAGACTAGTTATTATAAAAGCACGAATAATTTATGCTAAATGTTAGATGACTAAAATATCCTCGAAACTTTGATAGACCTTTATACCCTTAATATTTTGAGTTAAAGGTGGATATAATGTAGTATTCCAAATATATTACCCAAGAATGGAATTCTTTCTAGATTAAAACTCCACATATTATCCACAGCAAATTCATGCTCTACCAATACCTAAAACCTTTAAAACAACTACAACTGGTAAAGTTGGAAATAATTATGAATTTGGATAAACTTACTATACTTGTCATTACGATAACCAACTTGAATAAAAACTAATATTAAATATTATTGTATTCTTTAACAGATTTATAAATTTATTCGTATCATTTTGTAATTTTAAACTATTTAGTTCCAATTTATTTTTTGATTATCACAACATTATTATGATTTGGTTTGCATTACATATATATAACTTCTATTTTAAACAACTCATTATCTAACTTTAACAATTACTTATGGTACGTGTTTGTAATATTTGACACAAGATATTCGTGCAACGCACGAGTATAGAGACTAGTTATATTAAAAGTACGAAGTCATTTAGCGAAATGCCGTTCGCCTTTTTTACCCTTAAAAATTAATTTCATATTGGACTAAACTGTCATATGATTATTTTTCTAATATATATTGAGATCTTGAAAATAATTTTGAAAGCAACTATATAATAGACGAGATTCCAGTGAAATTTTGGAAGTGTGTAGGAAGAGCAGGTGTGGAGTGGTTGACTGGGTTGTTTAGTGTTATTTTTAAGGACAAGAGGATGCCAGATGAGTGGAGATGGAGTACGGTGGTTCCATTGTATAAAAACAAAGGTGATATCGAGAGTTGTAACAACTATAGGGGGTATCAAATTACTGAGTCATACCATAAAAGTATGGGAGAGGGTGGTTGAAGCGAGGGTGAGGATGACAACGTCTGTATCCGACAATCAGTTCGGGTTCATGCCGGGCCATTCCACCACAGAAGCTATACACCTTTTTATTAGGTTGGTGGAACTGTACAGAGAGAGAAAGAAGTATCTGCACATGGTGTTTATTGACCTAGAGAAAGCGTATGACAAGGTTCCTAGAGAAGTTCTCTGGAGATGCTTGGAGGCAAAAGCTGTGTCGGTTCCTTATATTATGACAATTAAGGACATGTATGATGGGGCTAAGACTCGGGTTAGGACAGTAGGAGGCGACTCTGAGCATTTTTCGGTGGAAATGAGGCTACACCAAGGCTCTGCGCTCAGTCCATTCTTATTTGCCCTGGTGATGGATGTGATAACAAACCATATTCAAGGGGAGGTGCCATGGTGCATGCTATTCGCCGATGACATAGTTCAGATTGATGAGTCACGAGCCGGTGTTAACGAGAGATTGGAGGTTTTGGAGACAGACTCTTGAGTCTAAGGGTTTTAAGCTAAGCAGAACGAAGACAGAATACCTCGAGTGTAAGTTCAGCGCTGAACCGGGGGAAGTGGACGTCGATGTGAGGCTTGAGTCACAGGTTATCCCAAGTAAAGGCAGC